AGAAACATCTGTTGGAGGGAGACCCTCTTCTCTCTTCTCACTCATGGCCACTCCAAAAGGTTTTGGGGAACAATCCATGGCAGCCTGAGGCAGAGACCTCATCCCAAACCCTGCTCAGCCAGGAACAGATTAATCCCCGAGGACTTTGAGGCTTTGCAGGCTCCCTGTCGTGTGTTAACTGAGACGTTACAACTTCAACACCCTTCGAAAAAATCAGAAACTGGAAGTGTTCTGAGCTCATTAACTGCCTGCCAAAGAACCCTTCTGTTTCAAAGAATCAATAACCTGCTTTTGTTCACAGCTTGATTTTTAACGTGACCAAAAAGACACCAACGCTGCCGACGCTAAAAGCCACCAGGGCTGTGGGGGAGAGAGCAACAGCTTGAGCCTTTTAAGTCCATCTTGCAGGAGGAAGGCACAGATTGAGCATTCCAGAGCACCCCCCCATCTGCACAGACTGCAGAGAGGCAGCACGTCCTGCCACCCTTGTTAACTCTGATTTACATCACAAATCGCCGCGGTGACAAACCCGTTCCCTGCCCGCTGAGCCCTGGGATGGGGATGGTCCCACACAGATTCCAGAGCTCCCCCAGCTTCCCCCCCCTGGCCGGGAGCAGCACACCCAGCACAGATGATGCCCCCTGACCTCGCAGCTCTTGGTGACAGCTGATCAAACCTGATCAAATCTGATCAAACCTGATCAAATCTTCCCAAATCTGAGGGGAGATAACAGGTCTTCCAAAGTGTGCCACCCCCACCCACCCCCAAACCCAGCTGTTTTCTCCTAGGTACCCAAAAAAGCCAAGTCATCAGAAGTGCAATTAGAGCAGCAGAGTTCCTAATTTACATGAATAAAACCCGTATTTGCTTGGGAACGTCCTCCCCTCACTAAAGCACAGCAGGGGTGTGGGACTGGCAGCTCTCTGGGAGGGTGAACTGGGTGCAGAACACCCCCAGAACATGAACATGCACAGTATGGTTGGGGTTGGGACTTGATGGTCCTGAAGATCCCCTCCAACCCAAACCATTCTGTGGTTAAGAAATATTAATTTCTTTCCTGCATGAAAAACAAAAACTCCACCAGACAAGCACTCGGGAGACCCCAACCACCAGTTAATATTAAATATGTTTAATATATCACTTGATTTGACAAAGTGGTTGCTGGTAAAGCTGGATGTGACTGAGATGGGGATGGCAAAGCCAGAATCTTGCAAGTGCCTGTTGCTGTGGATTAATTCATTTGGATGATGCACACATTGGCTGCATGAGGAGGGTGAGGATGTAATTCCTCTGCTGGGCACACACACCCCGAGAGCACTATGAAATCATAGAACCCCTTGACTTAGAACCTCCTGGCCCTGCCCAGGACACCCCAACAACCCACCCTGTGCCTGAGGGGGTCAGAGGACGCTGTTCCATGTGTGTGAGGAGGACACACCACCAGTTTTACATCCTCAGGGGGGGCAAAACCCCTCCCAGCACGACCCCGTTCCTCGAGCGATCGATGCCGAGTTCGCTGCCTGACTCAGTCCTGGTGCTGAATGAAACACAGCCCTGCATCCCCGACAAAACAAACACATTAATCCTCCCTCCCTGCACCCCAGAGCAGCTTTATCAGTGCCAAAGCTCTGCCAGGGCTTGGCAGGGGCTGAGCATCCCAGCCCCGAGCTCGGCGGGACCCGGGGCCGCTCTCCCCCTGCAGTGACCAGCACGGGGAGTGTTTGTTACTCAGTGGCTTTCTGGAGAAGATGAAGAGCTCTCTAACACCTCAGTGCACACATCAGAGTTGCCAAGACAGCAGAATGAGAACTGCACAAGGGCAAAACGTCCCTTTTAAGAAGCCTCTGTGGGTGACCTTAACACGACGTGAAGCCTTTCCAGCTGCAGAAACTCTTGACTTCCTGAAAGCGCTGCCACTGGGTTTTACTTCATTATTTCCTACTTTTTAAACCTGCCCTTTGCTGCTCTGAGTTCCTCTTCCTCTCCCAGATCCTCAGAGCAGATCAATCTGCACCTTTTCAGCTCAGTCTCTTCAGCTGATGTGATCCTGTCACCGGAGCCAACTGCTCCTCTCTTCCCTGGCATTCCATATTCCCCATGGTCTGAGCAGATAAGAAACCCTGAAACATTTGTTTCAGCCTGAAATGAAGCAGATTGTGATGGAATTCTGGGAAAAACAGCAGACACTGAGCCAAATTCCTGGTGGGGAAAAGAAATCTCCTTTTATATAAGAGTTCATGTGGGGCCAACAGGGTTTGGCACCTTCCTGGATGATCTGGGTGATGGGACAGAGCTCTGCAGGCAACACAGAGCTCTGGGAGCAGCTGAAGGACCAGGTGGGCACGTTGCCATCCCGAGGGACCTCAAGAGGCTGGAGAAACCAAGTTCTGAGGGAAACAAAGCCCTGCCCCAGGGGAGGAGTGACACCTGGGCAGGACCTGCACCAGCACCGTCACCCTGCAGCACCCAGACAACACCTGGGCTGCAGCCAGGCTGGAATTCCACAAATCCCACCAGTTTTAGAGGGATCTGAGCACCCCCCTTGCAGGACCTCAGTGCCAAACTCGAGCCCAGGCGTGTGACACACGAGATCCAGCAGCCAGAGCAGCCACACATTACCGGGGTTATTAGTGCTGCTGCTTATAAGTCAAAGCTTGGTGCAGCAATTACGGCCTCCCAGCGGTCAGATCTGCAAGGAAATTACCAGAATTACCCACAGTTTAGATGAACTTTCTACCCCTTCAATCAATAAAGTGCCATTAAGAGCCAATCCCGAGCTCTGCGTCGCTCGCGGGGTCGGAGCCTCTGCCAGAAATTCTGCCTTGATTGGATTAAACAATTTGGTTCAACGGGGCTTTGCTGGGAAGAGCCTTGCAAAGCACTAACTCTGCAAACTCTGACACCTTCCAGTCTGAAAGTTTTAAAAGCCCTGCCGAGCTCTCGGCCACACACTCAGAAATATTTCTCGTTACTTCCCATAAACTGCTCGAGGATCCCGGGAAAAATATTTAGGGAGAGTATAAGAAACACGAAACACACAGTTCCAAACATTTCAGATTAGTTAAGGAAACATCAAGGTACAACCTCCACTCCAACCAAAGACTTTCACGGCTCAAGGTGACTTAAATTTAGGAGGAAAAATTTAAAAAAAACAATTTGAAACCTCCCCGACTTCAAACCAGCAAAGCCCTCGGATTCGGTGGAGAAAACCAGCAAGTCTCTTCCCTGAGATTTGCTTCAGCCTCTCAGGGATTTGGGAAGATGGATTCTTGGTGATTTGGCATCAAAAGCAAAAATAGTTACTTTCCTGGCAACTCCCTAAAATCAGAACTCGCACAAAGAAAGGGGGAAGTGCCAAAAGCAAAGCAAGTCCTGGCATGCCCAGCAAATGCAGAATCTATTATTTTGTCCCTTTGGACTCAATTAGTTCAAATTTCCAAAGAATGACACCCATAAAGATGTTAAACATTAACAAAACTTCTGCTAACTTGCTTCGAAATGAATTTTAATTGCAAGCTGTTTTAGACATCTCCTAGGCTTGCAAAATTTAATGAGGATTTTATGCTGCCCACAAAAATGCCAATATATTAATTTCAGGCTAAAAAATCTATAGTTCCTGAAGAGGCCCGAGAGGAGAAAAAAATAAAAATCAATATTTTGTAAACGATGACCACTCGAGGTCTTTCTGCTTTTGGGGGCAGCAGGGACAGGGCAGATCCTGAGCAGCAATTCCCAGACCCTCCTGCTCCAGCATTTCCTGGTTTTTAAGGGAATATGACCACAGAGATCATGGAATCATTGGAAGCTGAACTGTCTCCCCTTCCACTACTCCTCTGCCCCAGCTCAGCTTGGAAACCTTTTTCAAGCTTTTCCTTTCGTTTCCCCCCTTCCCTTGGATTTTCTTCCAGGCTCCAGAAATTCCAGAGTGGCTTTGAGCAAATATCTTTCGTTTTTTAAATTTTAAACAAAGCATCTGTGACTAGGCAGGAAAAAAACCCAAAAAACAACTGAACACTCTGAACACTCCCCTTCCCATCAGGCTGCTTGGAGCACAGGGCACTGCTCCAGGATCAATGGTGTTAATTTATTCTCTTACATTACACAGAGAACAACCTTATTTCAAACTGCCTTCGTGCCAACTCCCAGCCTGAAGCACTTCTATTTTTTTCCCCCCCTTTTAAGAACAGCTGACTTATCAAAACCTGGTTTTTCTACCAGAAAACCACAAGCTAAGCCCACATTAGAATAATTGAAGCAATTAATTACTTTTATGCCTTTCTTTTTTAAAGGGAGATCTTTAATGCAGGTAATTCTGATTAAAAGAGCTAATTTGAACCGCTCCATCATTTAAAAGATGATTCTAAAATTAATGTAGAAAGTGCAGGAGGAAGACAAAGGGATAAAGGAAAGCAGGACCAGATGGGTCTTTCCCCTGTGCTCCAAGTGGGAATTCTCAAAGCAACAGGACTGTTGGAAAAGCAGGGAGAGGGCTGGGCAAGAGTTCAGGTCACTGCTGTTTACAGGTTGTCCAGAGAAGCTGTGGCTGATCCATCCCTGGAAGTGTCCAAGGGCAGGTTTGGAGCAACCTGGGATGGTGGAACTGGCTGATCATTAAGGTCCCTTCCAACCCAAACCACTCCATGATTCTGTGAGAATTCCAGCTTATTGTGGCCAGGAAAACAAGCATTAGACATGAACTGTCGACACATTTTGTCTCTCATCCAATATTTACTGATGCCCTGGGCTCCTTCCTGATCTCCACCACAAATCCAGTCCCTGAGAGGAGAAGAATCAAAACATCCACGTTGTGAAGCAGCCAAAGGTGTCAAAGCCAAACCCAGCAGGGGCTGAAGAGATCCTGATCTGCCAGGGCAGAGCAAAGCAGTGCCCAGGAGGGGCAGAATTCCCTCTGGGAATCCAGAGCCACGAGCTCCTTCCCTCTGGGCTCTGATCAGTGAGATATTGAGATGAAGTGTCTGCGTCTAATAACTGATGTTCCCAGACCAGCAGCACGTGAGACAAAAGCCTGGCTGTGCCAAGAGCCAGCAGTGGCAGCAGGAGGAAAAACACTGGATTTGGAAGCACTGATAAGAGAGCTGGTGGAATTCATTATTATTTATTCATTATTATTTATTCATTATTATTATTCATTATTATTCATTATTATCCTCCCACTCCCCACAACAGGAATCACTCACATTCCTCCCTGACAGCCCCTCCTTGTTCCCTGAGCTCAGAACCAGGGTCTGGATAAACTCCTTCAAGGAGCATCCAGGCCTTGGAAGGAAAACCTTCCCCCCAAGGATGCTCAGGTTGGGTTCCAGCACCCAGAGCTGACACTGCTGGTGCAGGTGAGGCTGTACCAGCACATTCCAACTGCTCCAGGGCAATTCCCTGTCTGTGTAGGAGCTCCCCTGGGAACAGCTCCTGGATCCAGAATGGAAAACACTCCCCTGTTCACCCCACTGATCCACCTTTAGGTTTTAAAGCAGCAGCAAAGCAAACAGCAGGGACTGGAGTTGATTTTTTCCACATTAACTGAAAGGTTGTTAGTCAAGGACAAGAGGCCTCCAGGGCTGTACCAGAGCTGGAAAATGGAGGAGTTTGGCAGTCTAAATAAATATATCCATGTATGCTTTTGTGCTCCATCACATTTGCCAAGACACGCAGGTCACAGATATCTGTGTGTGCCAAGATGAACAAACACCAGGACCCAGCTTTGAAAACACAATTCTAATTCTGAACTTGAAGAGTTCTCAATTCTCTCTGGCTGTGGCAACGCTTTGTTTCATCTCTCTCGTGGAGAGAGGAACTGCAACAACACACAGCAGCGTTTCCCTAATCTTTGAAACACTGAAATTTTCCTCTGCTGCGGCCCAGACATCCCAAAAAAAAATCATTTTAACACCAAGGAGATGAATTGAGCAGCGAAGTGGATCCATCAGCTGTGACTTCCACCTCTGGCACTTCAAGGAGAGCTGTGGGAACCCAACCCAGGGAAGCAGCACCACACGGGGAGCAGCTGCAGAGGAGCCAGGGAAGAAAACCCAGCAGGCAGAGATCGTTTAAAACACATTTTGTGAAGGCAGCTGACACCTGGAAACCAAGTGCTTACATTGTTTGAACAACCTGTAAATAGAAGGAAAACCTTCCTGGCTGGGCCCCCACAGCAAACCCAGCAGAGAGAGGGCTTTGAAGGCACCCGAGGTGTCTGTGCTGCTTCACTTTGAAGCTGCAGATAAGGGTGAGCAGTGTAAAACACGACTATTATCAGCTCTGGCAGACACAGCCTGACATGAAAACAGCAGCTCCCTCAGCGTGGTGAATTCCTGAGCAAAGGGAGAGCTCCTTGCACAGGCACAGCCTCGGCCCCTCGAACAGGAGGTGGGTTCTGAACAGGGGAAAAAACGCAGTGGGAAGGGGGAGACACATCCTGGAAGCACCTTTAAGTGAAGCTCCCACCAACATTCATCCAAATCCTCGCTCAAACTGGGAAAAATCAGCGTCCCCATGAGGCAGACAGACGGTGTTTCAAAGGGGACCCCAAATATCCAACTTTTTCCAACCTGTGACATCACCTGACTTATATAAAATCTCCTTCCCCTGCCAAATGAAGGTGTTATTCAGCATTTTCCAATCTCTGAGGGTCCCATCCTGAAGGTCCTCTTGAGATTCCAGCACTTCTCTCAGTTCCAGCCACTTGTTTCCTACTAATTTGCACAAGCTCAAGTCTCTCAAAAAACCCTCTTGGGATCACAGGTATCGAGTGTTCCTGCAAACAAACCTGTCTTTTATTCTCCCAACACGTGTTTGCAGGACAAACACAATTAGAAATTAATATTTTGTGACCTTCAGGGTTGGTTTTTTCCCCCTCCCCACGCCACAGGCCTTGCTGCACCTCATCCCTTGGGGTGCAGAGCACACAACAGTGGCCCCAGAGGTGCCCAAACAAAAAAAAAAGAAGAACAAACAGTGATAAAAAGGACAATTAAACCATGATCAGGGTAATTTTCAGCCTAAGAGCATCTTCTTCCCTGGCTTACAAAGCCTGAATATTCATTAAATGCTCTGTTCTGTGCAGCAAATAGAATTAATCATATTAATGCACGGAACAATAAGATTAAGGCAGGGAGCAGTAAATGAAATCTAATCATGTTTTTACTGAATGAAACATGAGTGGGAGAGGTCACGGGGCCCTTGCACTGGAACCTGCCACGCTTTGTCTCTCCCTGCCACGTTCCAGGGCCAGGATTTCAGGAGCCTGGAGCTTCCTAGGAGAAGGACGGGCAGCCCAGTAGCAGGGAAAAGGGGCTCTGCTGCCTCCCTGCTCAGCTGGAACCTCCCATTCCCCATCAGGAATAGATGCTCAACTATGGAAAAAATCCTGATGGGATATAAACCTTCTTATTCCCATTTTACCCTTTCTTCCCGCACTTCCCAGTTATCCCTGCAGTGGCACAGCCCAGGAGCAGCAGGAATTACTTTGTGCAGGGCATTATCCCCTCCTGGAACTTCCTGAGGATGCTCAGGGATGATTTGCATCCCCTGGGGAAGCAAATCAGGGACCCAGGGGTTCTCCAGCACTCCCAGCAGGGAGAAACAGCTCCCTGACCTGCAAATTCCTGTTCTTTCCCGAGAAAATCCATATTCATGGAAGGCCTGGAGGGCAGGACAGGGAGCAACACCCCCACCATGGGACCCCCCCACTCCCAGGGGCTGCAGGAGCTCCTGCCTGAACAGGGTGCTCTGGGTTCTCACAAATGTTCTCTCCCTTCCAACAGAAAAGGGAATTTTGCAGGAAGACTGTAAAGTTTTCTACAGTAAAGTTTTTTAGAGCTTTCAAGCCTTTGGAGAATTCGTTTCCAATTAAAAGGGCTGTAAATGGCTTCGGAAGGAAAAAAAAGATAAAATTCAATAAGTCTGTTTTTTCCAGATCCCAATGAAGATGTAACTGCCATTGAAACAGGGATTTCAAAAGCCACTTCACACACCTTTTTTATTCACTCCCAGCCCTATGGAAAACACAAGAAAAACATCTGAATATCACAGATAAAGCATCCAAGAGTTAATTAACTCTTACAATAAGGAAGCTCAGGAAAAGAAAACTTCCCCACTTGCATTATCTGGGCTTTAACCAGCGATGAAAAACAAGTTCTTTCAAGCCACACAATAACCTGCCAGCACGGGGCAGGACAATGCTTGTAAACGTGCAAATAAAAGCAATTACTGAGTGGAAAAATTCAAAAATTGAGTGGTAAGTGTGAGATGAGAATCATCTGAAGGCAGAAACCAGGAAATCTGTGTCCCAGAGTCCCTGCAAGGAAGGGAAGGTTTGGGAAGGGAAGGTTTGGGAAGG